ATGGCCAAGCAAACTCTGAGTCTGACTGTTCGTCTCTCTTTCTTCCCCACCACCCCATTGTTACCGCACGCCCTGCGAATAGTCACCGCTCTTATAATGCCTCCGAAAAAAAAAAACTATCAAACGCAACTTCAAAAGCAGTCGCCTTGTCCCCCATGGCCACCTTAAACCCTCTGATACCAGGCTTGTTAGAACCTTTTCAAACGCTTTTTGAAGATGGTGTGAACCGCACAGACATGATCAACCGCGCGGATGAGCATCCTCAACGTTTTTCTGCAGCATATAATAATGCTAACACCCAGGCAACCCTAAAGACCGTTCATTCCACCCACCTCACCCGTTGCAATTATAGGCCAGTTCTTCTAACAAAACCCTTATAAATGAATGCAATTCGAGAGTTTTCGCGGCGTGGTAGTTATCTTTCTCTGCTAGCATTCCCGCAAACGTGATTTAATCTCGACCAGCCTTAATCTTGGAGACGCTCCTTTCACGGCTAATGTTTCCGTGCTTGATCATTCAGTATTTTTTACCTAACCTGTCCTGAACACCGGAGTGACTCTAGTGCCCGACGCACCTTCGCCAGCCAACGGAATCGCCCTCTTCAAACGCCTTTTGTCTACGATGACGCTCGTTATCGTCGAAGATATCAAGACTGGAAAACTTGGATAGTCAGAGGCGCAGCTGGAGACCTTTAAACCATTACAGCCGTTTGGCAATATCTCTCTCACCAACTAGACCAAAAAAAAAACGGACACCGTTCTTGCGCAACGCCAACCAATATAGACTGATTTCCTGTTAACAGCGACATATAGCCGGCAAGGTTACCAACTCGAAAAAGACCAATAAAGTAATATTTTACACCTCTCAAAATCTTGCTGACGACCATTCGCCCAGGTTTAATTCCTCAAGATATCTCACCTCCCTTTTCTTTCTCTATCGGCCCATTGCTTCATCGTGCTATCCCTCCTTGGCATTCGCATCGAATTTCGTGCTCGGACGCGCGTATATCTCTCCTGCAATCACTTATTTTAGCACCCGCACTTGCCCTCTGCTCTGCACGCATAGAACCGCCTTCAGCTTCTACCCGTTTCCATTCGTTGATCTCGCGTTTCCCGTCATCGCCCGAAATTTCCTGTATTACTAGTGCGCTCTACCTTGATTTTTTTTGACGCGCCCCGCTGCCTGTCCGAACAAGCTAAGATTCGGCTTATTATGGGCCATGATAGATAATAAACTAACTTTAACGGCGGCAAGTTCAACAGCTCCTTAGGAGCCGTTATATATCTTGTTCTCATTCTACAGCGTACGCCGCTCCGAGCAACATTTCAGATGAGGCATGTAAAAGCTGAACAAAAGGAACGAGCATTCACGTGTGGAAAAGCCCATCACCGTCACCTGGAGGAAGGAATCTCACTTCCCCCCTTCAACTAGCTGAGCACTCTCTCAAACGGCCCTTTCAAGGATATGCGCACAAATAATGTCTACTTCTATTTTTATTATTACTTGCCGTCCATAAGTATTACATGCATCTCCAAGTTCTCCTCTTCGTCCAATCATACTCCATAAGCTCCCCACGCATCACCTTGCAAAAACTCCATTAGCGGAACAACAGAACAGAACAAATCCCCCAGCCCTCCGGCCCCTCATCCTCCTGCCCCCTTCACACAAACGACCCACCTCACCACACTCCCACACGCATAACACGCCGCCTCCCACCTCGCCCACAAAATCTCCGCCCTCCACGCCCTTTCCTCCTCCTCCGCCCTCCCCCCTTCATCCTCCCCCGTTCCCCCCGCCCCCGCCCCATCCCCCTCCCCCCTAACCCCCTCCAAAAAGCGTTCCCTCCCCTCACGCTCCTCAAGCCCGCACGCATACTCCCGCAGCAGCTGTGCGTACTGCGTTGATACGTTCTGCACGGAGAGCACAGTCACGGGGGTGGGGCCGGAGGTGATGTGTGTGAGGATGAGAGGGAGAGCGTTGGGGAGGGGCGGGAGGGGGGTGCGGCGGGTCTGGGGGGTGGAGGTGGCATGAGAGGAGAGGGAGGGAGAGGGGGAACGGAAGAAGGGGAGTGCGGAGAAGAGCCATGGGATGCCTGGAGCGAAGGGGGTTGAAGCGGACGCGCAGCTTGCGAATTCGAGGAGGGCGAGGTGCGTGGCGGGGATTAGGGCGCGGAATTCGGCGAGGGCGGTGTTGAGGTGGGTGGGGGTAGTGGAGAGGGTGGTGGCGAGAGCGAGGTTGCGAAGGATTGGAGGGGAGAGGGTCGGGAGGAGGGCGGGGAGGACTGTGATGGAGTGCGTTGGGGGTGTGGTGGGGGATTCTAGTGGACTGGGATGGGATGTCTGGGCGTGGGGACTCGCGGGTGACGTATGTCCCTCAGGCTGTTGCTGTTCCTCAACCCGTTGAGGCTGTCGCTGTCGCTGTCGCCGTTGCCGTTGCAAATCAAGGTACGCACTTCTGGACGTGGCGGCAGGGGGTGTTACTGGATCTTCCGCGAGTTTATTCCCAGGTGGATATTCAGTGACAGCCTGAGAAGCAGCGAAGGTCCCAGCCAGGGCAGGCAGCCTGTACTCGGGATTAGGAACGAGACGAAGCGGCTGCGCCAAGGCCGCCGATTAAATGCGCATATATGCCGTGAGTCTCGAACCCCGGGTACTCACCGTGTATTTCTGCGGGAACACGCTCCATACGCTCCAGCGCCACAGCGTCGCTACCCAGAGACGTGCGTGGGAGAAGCGGAGCTGCCACGCCGGGTCATGGTCGTCAATCTGCAATGTGCCGTTGGATGAGATGAGGCGCTCGAGGGTGTCCTCGGGGTGGCGGAGCTCTATCTTTCCGGAGATGAGGTCTTGAATGAGGATGCTGAGAGAGAGGGTGAGGGTGCGGGATTGGGGGGAGTTGGTGAGAGACGTGTAGTATTGAGGCCATATTGAGCAGCGGGGAATGAGCACGCGGAGGAGAGCCTTGGGTGGTTGGGGTTGATGAAAGTCTTGGAGGGGCGCAGAACGAAGACATGTCAGGCACGGAAGGAGAATACACAGAGAGGCGAAAGAGACGAGAGACAGAGCGTAGAATGGGGCGGCGGAAGGCAGGGAGACTCGGAGCGAGACCTGCAGAAACCAGTGCCAGAGCGGGTGAGTCTGCAGACGGTAACTACGAAGATAAACATGGATTATATCGAAGAAATCCTTGCGGGAAAGACTGAGAATTGGCCAGTGCCCGAGTGCAGATAGTGGAAGCATTGATGAAGGGCCGAGGTACTACATGCATCTGATAAGATAGATGACACTTACGCCTTTACGTAATGATGGCGCCTGTGTCACGTGACCGTCAAATATGATAGTTGAAATATTTCAATCTTCAGACAAGCCAGCAGCGACTTTGGGAGGCAGTAATAATATAAGGTTAGTATAACTTATGCAAGAGGGCAAGGTTCTCTACCTGAAAATCACCATAGATTTGTGATGGAATCATGCTAATGCTCAAGATTATCATATCCTGGGATGACTCTGCTTATGTAACATGGGGCACTTGAAATGGAAGAGAAGGAGAAAGGGGAAAATAGGAAAGTGGAAAAATAGATAGAGACAATAGGGAAAAAGGGAGAAGTAGGAATAATAAGGGGAATATGAGGGGTTCCCCTTACACTAGGGGATATCACGATGACTGTTTCAGTGTCGTTTTGATGGTGGTTTCAAAAACCTCGAAATGGTCCAAAAATTGAAATGACTCTAGAGTTTCAATTTTTGGACCATTTCGACACTGGTTCCGATTTCCTGTTCGCCTGGCATGATGGTGTCGGAATTAATAGCTAAGTCATTTTCATTGAAGGTACCATGATGAATTCTATTTTGTAGTCTGACAAGTAACTGTACAGCTGCATGCCTACTACTACTACCCTTTCCATTGTACTCATGCCGAGTCCAAAGTGATGAAAAAAACCCGTCACCTTCTCTGTTCCTTCTGTTTTAGAGATATGAATTCCTTCTTGCAAGTATTGGGTGGTATGTAACTCTGTGAGGACACTGAGAAATAAGGAACTCAGCTGAGGCAGTGGAGGGTCTCCATCTTCTGATTCAGACATCTCTGAGTCTGTGTCTAGAAGCTTGAGAAGCTTGGCTTGACCTTCAGCAAGCGTTTGGAGGACAAAGAGTTCAAGCAGCTCGTTGGTAAGAGCCTGTTGCTCGGTTTGTCATGGCATAACGAGGGTGACGTGACAAGCAGGAGAGTCACCTGAGAGTTACGGTGTGGTGCCAAAGGTATGGCACAGGATTTTTATCTTAGGGAAAGGAATGTTGAAACTACATGTAAACTGGTTTGAAACTGAACAGGAAATGGGGATATCACGCTGCAAAATGGTTTGACTAGTTTTGCGATGGATTCCCCATCTTTCAAAACGGCCCTCGAAATGACTGTCAAAATGACACTGAAACGGTCATTGTGATATCCCCTACTGACCTCCTGCAATTGATCAATATTTTCTGGCCCAAGCATGGCCTGTTTCAGACCAATTTTTTTTTGTATCTAGCCAAGATGTTAAGGAATAGACAATAAACCCATACTAGGTACAGCTGGCACAGAGTAGTTCTGTAGGGTGGGTGATGGCTTTGTAAACGGCTGGAAAAACACAGCCAAGCCGAAACCATTGAGGTTTTGCTTGTGAGCTTGTAAGTAACATTGGGGCCACTGAGGGGTGTGCACCCTCATAGTTAATATGTTTGATTATATTTCTAAAATAATGCCTCAGACTTTACATTGAATGTTGAGTCTCAAAATGGCAGAGCTGTGATTAGCCATTTAGAGCTGACAGCAACACTACCTCTGAGCAACTCCATACCCAAGCTTCACACCACCTGCATTTGACTAGCTTTGTTCTGCTATCACACCTCTAGTGAAAATCTAACACATCAGCCATGAGGAGTCATTAAAGATGTTCCTCTTGTAGTGTCACCTGTCTTGTCACTTGCGCGGTATAATGGGCCACTCCTGTCTACACTTCCAGTGGCAACATGACCGAGTGGTTAAGGTGTTAGATTCGAACTTGTGGTCTTATCTCATCTGCTTCGCAGGCGCAGGTTCGAATCCTGCTGTTGTCGATGTTTTTGTCCTGTGTGACCGTGTTCAGCTCGCTTTTATTGTGGACACTTGTTGAAATGACCCTGCTATGGACCTTACTATGTACTACAGTTGCACGCATTGCAAACTAGCTTCCGACGACGTGATCCTAACGCTGTCGTCTGCGTAGGATGGGTTCTGATGGTGGCTTTTAGGTTTCTGGGTTGTGTCCGCGGAGCCAACAGTTGTCTGCGCCGGATATGGGCAAGACATTGAATGGAAGACGGAGCTTACGAGAGCAGCGCTTCGCGAGCTTCTTTGAGCAAAGTGGACGAATGTCGCTCGAGATCTTGCCTGTGCTCGGCCACGTCTGTCCACAATTTGTCCATGTCGTCTCTGTCTCGTCCGTATCCGCCGCCCGACGACGACAAAAAGTACCGTCTCAAGTACCGCGACCTCAAGCACAAGGTCCGCGACATTGAACTCGTGCGCCCCTTTCTGTCCTTTTTTCCGCTGCTCACAGCCCACGCCAGGACAACGACCGTCTCCAGCTCAAGGTCCTCAAGACCAAAAAGAACATCCAGCGACTCCGCATCGAGCGCGCGTGCGTCTCTCCTTGCGCTGCTGTCTCTCACGCCCATCTCACCGTCCCGCAGCATCCTCTATGAACGCCTCTCCGCCCTGCCCGAGCCGCTCCCCGCCCACAGCGACCAGCCGTACAGCCACCCCCGCCGCTTCTCGCCCCACAGCGACCCACATGTCCCCCGCCGCCACCCCGACCCACAGGGCTCCCTCGACGCCCTCCCGCCCCTCGACGCCCCCCCCGCCCGCCAGACATGATCCCGCCCGCCCCGCCCCCTACCGCGACCCATACGCCTATCCCGCCCCGCCCTCGATCCCGCCGCCCCGCCCCGCCCCCGCCGCAACACCCGCGACAGCGACCGCCCCGCCGTGCTCCCCGCATCCCCCCCCCCGCCCAACACGCTCCCATACACCTCCCGCACCTCGCCCACCACCAGCACGCAGCCCACAGCAGCCCCGCCCGACGACCGCCTCCCCCCGCCCCCGCCCCCGACGTCGCCTATCCGCACTACCCGCCCCACCACCGCCCCCGCGACGCCGAGCGCGCCCTCCTCGGCGGCCCGGGCCTCCCGCCCATGCGCACCCACTCCCCGCACCACCCCGCCTCGCCCCCGCACAACGGCTACGCGCACCCGCTCCAGCACCCGTTCTCGGCCGACGACCGCGACCGCCCCTGGGACCGTGACCGTGACCGCGAGCGTCAGCGCGACTACCCGCCCGCGTACGCCATGCGCGCAGACGAGCCTGGCCCGTCGAATGGCTACCGCGATAGTGTCCCGCGCTACGATGTGCCCCCGCCGCACAGCAATGGCTCGGGCCATCCCTCCCCCGACGTCGCGTATGCCCGCCCCCGCCGCTCCTCGCGCGCCGAAGAGCCGCGGGAGCCCAGGGAACTGCGCGAGCCAAGGGACCTGCGCGAGCCTAGGGACCTGCGCGAGCCTAGGGACCTGCGCGAGCCTAGGGACCTGCGTGAGCCTAGGGACCTGCGCGGCGCGCGGGACTACCCGCAGTACGACTACGCCCGCCGGCAGGACCGCGAGCGCGACCCCCACGCCCCAGACCCCATCGACACACACGGCACCCCCCTCTCCATACCCATACCCACACCGCGCCGGCGCAGCTTCGCAGACATATCCGACGACCGCGACCGCGACCGCGAGCGCGTGCACGACTACGACTACGCCTACGACGCGCAGCGGCCGCCTCTCAAGCAGCGGCGGAGCTCCCAGGAGGAGTTTGACGAGCGCAGGCTCGGGCGGCGGGAGCGTGATAGGGAGCGCGGGCCGTCTGAGATGGGGAGGGATGATGTCCCGCGGGTGAGGGAGGGTGAGGCCATGGAGTGAGGTGTGGTGTGCTGGGTGCCGCTGGGTACTCGTCAGCGCTGCGGGCGCGGGCGCTGGCGCACTGGATCACTAGTACTGGTCGCTCGATCACTGGACGCTGGACCACTGGACGCTGGACCACTGGACGCTGGACCACTGGACGCTGGACCACTGGACGCTGGACCACTGGACGCTGGACTACTGGACACTGAGGCGCACTGGACTGGAACCGGATGCTGTAGAGACGACGGACGTCGCTGCATTGTGGCCGCCGCCGCCGCCGTTGTCATTGCTGTTGTTGCTGTATCTGTGCTGCACCCATTGTTGTTGTTGTTGTTGTAATTTATGTTTTCAGTAGTTTTAGCTGTGTGGATCACGCCCGGCTGTGGATCTTCATGTGTATGTTGCAGTTTGTGTTCTCTAGAGGTGAGGCAGAGTATAGAGTCGAGTTTAGAGTTGTATTTGGTGTTGGCGGTGGCACTCAGGCTGGCACCGGCATCCAAGAAACCCAAACCCAGTAAGTAATGCAAGAAATACATGCGAGTCAGTATGTAAGTACGTAGATATCATTGTCGTCGTCGTCGTCCATCGTCCGCAATGGGATAGCAGAGGTAATAGTGTAAGATGGCAGTAAAGAGTGTGGAGGGGGAGGGGGGCGTTCGTACATATGCATAATAGTCTACGTGACGGCCGTGGGGGAATGAAAAAAAAAAAATGAAAAGAAAACGCACCGCCACTCAGCGCATCCGCGGCGTCGCATACGACGAGTGGTACTGCTGCTGATGCTGATGCTGATACTGCCCCCTCGGCACAATCCTCAACGGCATCGTCCCCCCACGCTCCTCCTCACCCCCCCTCCTCTCCCCCCAATCACCCACACCCACACCCGCACCCTCATACCGCGCCGCCGCATACAACCGCCCATCCGCCCCCCGCACCATCCTCACAGGCCCAGGCGGCGGCTCCCCGCTCTCCGACGCAGTCCCCTCCTGCGAGTACTCCGACGGCGCGGACACCGTGACGGCGGACGTGCGGTCTGCGGAGGCGGAGACGGAGAGCGTGGATGGACGGGGGAGGAGCGCGTGCGGGGGAGAGAGCGTGTCTGCGGCCTCTGTCCCCGTCCCTGCTCCCACCCCCGCCCCCGCCCCCGGCTCTGGGTCCGCGGCCGTGTGCGTATGCGTGTGTGTATGCGTATGGTTGTGCGCGTGCACGTTGAGCGGACGCATGGACGACGGCGGGGGGTGCGATGCGTGTGCGAGCGGTGAGGGGCGCGCGGGGACGTATGCGCGTTCGGCGCTGGGGGAGCGCTGCGATGGTGGGGGGCGCAGTGTGCTCCGGGGCGGCGTGCGTGGGGTTGCGGCGGGGGAAGATGTGGGTGCGGATGTGGGTGCGGATGCGACTGCTGGGGGTGCAGGTGTGGAGGCTTCAGGTGCGGGTGCGGGGGAAGGCGGGGCCTGTGTCGGCTGTGTGGGCGTGACATCCTCCCTTGAGGTCCGCGCCGCTGGGGTATCACGTACAGACGCAGCAGGTGAACCCGAGGGCGAAGCACGCAGCGTCGGCGTCGGCGTCGTAGAAGGCTCGCTCTCGCCACGCTCACGGTCCTCACGATCGCTGCCGGTCCCCGCGGTGCGCACGGACGGCACGGGGGCGAACGTCACGCTCTTCTGGGACGCGGACGCCATGGTGTTGCGCGCGGGGTGTGTGCGCGGGAGGGAGTGCCGCGAGGCGTTTGCGCTCGAGGAGCCGCGGTGTGAGCCGGGGCCCGTGTGTTTCAGGGCGGGGCGGAGGCGGCGCTGTGGGTGCACATGGATGGTGGTGGAGGAGGATATGCACACGGACGAAGACGACGACGACGAGGACGAAGACGACGACGACGACGACGACGACGACGAGCACAGCACACGGACGCGGACAGCACGTCAGCGCTCCAAACACGGGCACAGAACACTGCGATACGCACCTCCTTCCTCGCCCGCTTCTCAATCGCCTTGCCCCACCAGATCCACCCGCCCACCGCCGCGAGCGCAAGGCACACCCCGCCCAGCAGCCCGCCGACGATAGGTCCAACGGGCAGCGGTGGGGACCGCGACGCGCCTGATGAGGCCGCGGTGGGGGCTCCGGGGGCGAAGATGGTCGTCGTCGTGAAGAGGTCTGGGCCGCGGGGAACGATGCGGGGGAGAGTGGGGGACGTTGGCTTTGGGGAGCTGCGTGTGGGTGGTGGGGGCATTGCGAGTGCGAACGGACTAGTGCTCGGAGGGCCAGGGCGTGTCTAAAGAGCTGCGTGTCTAAAGAGCTGCGTGAGGGCGTGGTGCGGGGTCGTAAGAAGGGTGCGGGGCTGCGATGGAGAGGACGCAGCGCGGCGTGCGCAAGGCCAGTGTGCCTCCCAGTGTGCCTTTGTCCAGCAGACTCGATAGCCTCGTTATTCTAAATCTGGCTCCATCTTGGCGCCGTCCACGTCCGCAGTGCGTGTCTGAATCCACTCAGGATGTGGCACACATCATCTACACATGCCTTACAGGGTCTTTCATGTTAGATATGACTACTGCCTATGGACGTGCTTCGCGTCGCCATCTAAGCGTGTTATCATTCATGTCAAAGCTATCAACATCGTCTAGCGCTCCATCGCTTCATCTCCCGGGCCCTTCATCTCCACCCAATCTCTGCATACTGCGTCGGAAGCACGACCATCTCCGTATACTGCCGCCGCCTCGAATACGGCCGCCAGCTCGTCACCGTGCTCGCAAACCCATTCCCATTCTTCGACGCCGCAATCAGACCCCGGCCCTCAATGCTAAGCTGGTACTTCGTCCCAACCGTCGACAGACTAAAGATGTTGATCGTCGACGCCCGGTCGATCGTCAGTATCTGTTCCTGGCACGACGTGCTCCCAATGCACGTCTGTGCGTAGTCCTGGAAGAAGCTGTACAGCCCCGCGCCTGCCATGCCGCACTGGTTTAAGCCCCAAGACACCCACACGATTCTGGATCTCACTCGCCGTAAATAAGGATGTTGCTCGAGTCCCTGACGGCCAGTCCCCATGCCGCCCGCTGGCTGTGCAGCTCGGGATCCCGCCACCTCGGCTCGACGCGGAAAGGCTGGGGTGGAGAGGGAGACGGTTGATAGTAGGGCTGCGTGGA